ACAGCGGGACAGGCCTCCTAACCCTCCACTATTTAGGAAGACTTTCGACACAAGGGATCCCAAACTCAGATTCACCTGCCAGCCATCATACTCGTCGAGCCGGTCACCTGATCAGACCATCGGCTCTGATACCACTTATTGAGCACCGGGGACACGCCTCCTAACCCTCCACCATTTAGGAAGACTTTCGACACAAAGGATCCCAAACTTGGATCCACCTGTCAGCCATCATACTCGTCGAGCCGATCACCTAATCAGACCATCGACTTTGATACCACTTGTTGTGCACCGGGGGTTACCACACACATCCACATGTCTCCATATTGGTAAGATATTGTCCGTTTTGGGCCCAAGCCCTCACGATTTTATTTTTGGACATTACTCAAAAGACCTTTTTACCAATAGAGACAACTGTGTATATATAAACCCATGTCTATCCTCTTATTTGAATGATGTGTAACTTTCTTTGCATCTCAACAACTTACTATATATTTATAATTGAAATAAAAGGTATCACAACTAGTATTACAATGGGAGGTCATTTTATTTTTTTTTCCTTATCTTGTTTTATCACTTTTGTTTACTTATATATATATATATATATATATAAAAAGTTCGTAACCTAATTATGGTACACACTCATGTATTGTCCTGATTAATTATTGCATGAACAAATCATTAAATAACTATGTTAACTTTTTTCAATTATTCATAAATCAAAATTAAGTTTAAATAGATATAGTAATTATAAAAATGATTAAAAGTTAATGGGTACATGAAATTTTTGAAATCTTTTTTACTCTTTTTAATTTAGAAACCATCTCACATACATCTTATTCTATCATTATCAAATAAATATGTTATTTTATATTAATCAATTAATTTATCAACTAATCTTATTAAATTAATCCTTTAAATTTAATCAATTAATTTATAAAATTTTAACTTTTCAATAAATATATTATAGCTTATTTTTAATGATACACGTTAAACTCCATCATCATATTTGTATTGGTTCCAGTATAAATAAGATCATCTACATACAGAGAGAGTAAGAGAGTATGCTGACCTTGAGTCTTGATATACAGTGTAGGCTCACTCTTACTCCTCCTGAATCCATGGTCAGTGAAGTACTGGTCGATCTTGCTATACCATGCTCGAGGAGCTTGCTTCAGGCAATATAAAGCTTTCTTCAATCTCAACACTTTGCCTTCATGGCCTTTAATCACGAATCTTGGTGGTTGCTCCACATAGATATCTTCTTCAAGTACGCCATTGAGGAATGCAGACTTGACATCTAATTGGTAGATGTTCCATCCCTTTTGTGTCGCAAGAGCTATTAGAGCTCTTATTGTGTCTAGGCGTGCGACTGGAGCAAATGTCTCATTATAGTTCACTCCTGGCTGTTGTGAGTAGCCTTTAGCAACCAATCTTGCTTTGTGTTTTTGTATAGTTCCATCAGGATTAAGCTTTGTTTTATATACCCATTTTACTCCAATAATATCTTTTCCATGAGGGCAATCTACGAGCTCCCATGTATTATTCTTCTCAATCATTTTAATCTCTTCTTCCACAGACTTGACCCATACTTCTTGGTCTACTGCCTCTTCAAAGCTTCCTGGTTCAAGCATGGCCAAGTTGCAGGTTTCATATATATCTACTAGTGATCTAACTCGTCTCGGAGTAGACTCAGGTGATGATTCTTCTTGTTGTGGAACTATTCTTGGAGATTCTGGAGAGATAACAATGTCTTGATTGTTGTCTTCCAGACTTGATGTAGTTGGTTGATTGATGGGCATGTATATAATCTTCTTCTCAATTCGTTTTTCTTCCCAGTTCCAAGTAGCATTTTCATTTACTTCAATATCTCTACTAATTGTTAACTTCTTTGTTTCAAGATTGTAGACTCGGTAGCCTTTTGTCTGTGAACTGTATCCCAAGAATATGCCTCGTACGGTCTTGTCTTCTAACTTTATGCCTTTTTCATCTAGGACATGAATGTAGCAGATAGATCCAAAGACCCTTAGGTGCTTAGCTGATGGCTTCTTCTCGCTCCAAGCTTCTATTGGAGTCTTGTCCCGAACTGTCTTAGTAGGACATCTATTAAGTAGGTAGACTGTAGTGTAGACTGCTTCAGCCCAGAATGTATTTGGCAGTCCTTTCTCCTTCAACATCGATCTCGCCATCTCCATGACTGTGCGATTCTTCCTATCTGACACACCATTTTGTTGTGGAGTATATGCGACTGTAAGTTGTCGCTCTATGCCTTCATCTTCGCAAAATTTGTTAAACTCGCGAGATGTATACTCCTTGCCACGATCACTTCTAAGTACTTTTATTTGTTTTCCACTTTGCTTTTCGACAAGGGCCTTGAATTTCTTAAATATTCTAAAGACTTATGACTTTGTCTTCAGAAAATAGACCCATGTCATTCTAGAAAAATCATCAATGAAGAGGATGAAATACTTGTTGTTAGTGTGTGATGGTGTCCTCATCGGTCCACAAACATTTGTATGAATTAGCTCCAACAAGTCCTTGGCTCTCCATGCTTTGCTTGTTGAGAACGACAATCGGTGTTGCTTTCTGAGAAGACATCCTTCACAAGCTTCATTATTTTCCTTTAGGTTGGGTAGATCCCTCATCATACATTTCTGATGTAGAAGCTTTAAGGCATGGATATTGAAATGGCCAAATCTCCGATGCCAGAGCCATGAGTCATCAACTTCTACCTTCATGGAAAGATTAGTGCCATAGTTGAAGCTTAAAGGAAAGCTTCTATTTCTCTTCTCCATTTTTACTTGGTCAATCTCTACCTTTTTACTATCGTAAATTTTGCATATATCTCTTTCAAAATGAAGAGAATACCCATTTTCCATCATTTGGCCAATGCTTAAAAGATTTTCTTTAAGATTTGGAACAAGTAACATGTCTTTGATGAGTCTCGTACCTTTCTTTGTCTCCACCACGACAGTGCCTTTGCCTTGAGACTCCACCATGATGCTGTTTCCCAGTCGAACTTTGACTTTGACAGAGTTATCAATGTCTTTGAAGATGCTTTTGTCCTTGGCCATGTGATTGCTACATCCACTATCACTACAAAAAAAATGCTATTTAGTGGGGGTTATTTTACGGAGGTTTTAAAAACCCCCTCAAATTAACATGAGTTGCGGCGTTATGGAGGAACGCCCAAAATTGAAAAAATAGTGGCGGTTTTTATTATTTTTTGAGGAGGTCTATGCCCTCCTAAATTCAGAGGCAATTTTCCCTTAAAATTTTTCACCATTTTCTCCCGCAATTTATTTTCACCCAATTAATCCCTCCAATTTTCACCACCTTTACCTTTTACTGACTTCGCTCCTCCATCCAAGGGCACTGCTTCATTCATCCGTGTATTGCTCCGCGCGCGTTGCCTGGCTCATCCACTTCCACCACTCCGCTTAGCCGTGCTGCTCCGTTCATTCGCGCGTGCAGCATCGCTCATCCGTGCGTTGCTCCTCCCACGTTCTCCTCCCTAGACGACGACATTAGGGCGTAGCATCTTCTCAGTTTGGGCCTCATTTCAATAGGCTATGTAGCATCTTCTCAGCTTTGGTTAAAGCCATTGCGATACTTACCTCACAGATGAAAACTTTTTGGTTACCCCCTTTTACACGCACAACTTAAAAAATGCACTTTATTACTGTAGTACAATTCACGTTTTCTACTTTCTAGGATGTACGCATAAAATATATGCGTGCTGGAGAAGCTTAGTCAAATTAATTAGGTGAGAAAAAACCTTTTAATGTGCACAAGTAAGTGTCTTTGATGTTGGTAATTACTTAGAATGGAAATAAATCTCATAGCGAAAGGCCTTTTAATAAGTATGTGCACTTTATTCGATTTTTAAACTGTGTCCCTTTGCCTAAGCAACCTTTGCTTACTTCCATGAGGAAATATGATGATGGAGAATCTCATAGCAAAGGCCTTGATGTGTCAAATAATTTGACAGTCACAATGGTCACAGGGAGATGAAAGCATTACATTTTTCCCTTTCTGTTCATTTTTTTTAGATTCACTTTCACTCTACAGTACAAAGCATACAGTTTTCTTTTTAATTTTACCCTCCTTTTGAAATGAGCCCTTGAATTTTGAGTGTATATATAATTTATAAGGGGTTTTTAACTTATTTTAAGCAAAAAATGAGGTTAAGCAATCTTATTATGAATGATTAATCTTATTGTAAATGATTGGTGCAATTAGAAAATGGTACCAAAGTATATAAGAGAATTGAGGCTACAATCATTTACAATGCTTGTTTAACTTTGTTCTTATTTGGAATAAGTTATACAAATTTCCTTGATTCTTGGTCATTAAAAGAAGTATTCTAGGTTGACGGTATTGATATGTAGAAATAATAGAAAACTAGCGGAAACTATGTACCGTGTAGCATTTGCATTTTGATTTGTTCTTTTCGAGACAAAGTTTTGATATGCTATTATGTATACAGTTGTATATTGTTGACAGATTGTTATTTATATATTTTTGGAGGTGCATCTTCATTTTTAAATATCTCTGTTGAACTCACATATGACTTGTTTTGTACTTATCTCCAAATAGCATTTGGAGGATTTAAAAAAAAAAAAAGACTTTTGGAATATAGTATCTCCCACCGTGTTTTTCTCATGTCATGTACTATTAAAATCACTTGTATTGTCCACTCTCTTAAATATAAGTATGATGATGATTCCTTTCAACCACATACACTACTGTTGTTCGTTGACAACACCACCTGACATCCAAATGGATATGCTTAAATTGAGATGAAGATTTTATCCTTGAATGTTTATTGTTCTTTACTTTATGAGGTCATCTTACTTATATGAGGATATATTGGCCTCTACTTTATGATCTTGTCTCTAATAAAAACCACTTTAATTCATTTTATAAAAAACTTCAACAAGATATGTAATCCCTTATGGGTTTTTAATGAAGCTGTTTCTAGCAAGATCATCAAGATAAACGTGAAGGCTGATTCCCCTGTTGCACAAGCTCGCAGTTTCACCAAGAACTGATCAATTGCTTCAGCTGTCTCTGGAGTCACTTTCTAGAAGGTAAAAAGCATAACATTAAATTATTTAAAGAGAAACGCATACATCAAACAATGATATAGAGCAAAAACTAATAGTACTTTGCGTTCTTCTTGAAGGGCCTGAAGTTCATCAGCTGCTCTACGTACTCTGATTGCTAGCTAGGTATGACTTTTTTATTCTTAAAATTTCTGTGGTTTTGGTTTTGTTAGTTGGTGTGTGTGAATTAATCTAAACTTATAAACAATGAAGCTTAGTCCTTAATTTCGAGTATGTAGATTTAGGTTCTATCTATACCCTTCTCAAAGGGCATGTAGTTTCAATTTGTATCATACAACTTTGACATCTTCTGGAAATTATGTGTTAGCTGCTGAAGGATTCGGTTGTGTTTGGCTTCATGGATATGATTAGTTGATTAATTATATAAACTTTGCTTGGTGAATGTGTTGAACTTATCTAACATTATTTTTCTTTTGCTAGTGGCATCTCCACACTATATTTATTAAGAAAGAGGGGAAGAAAGCAACTTTTGAATGTGGATGTGAATGCTTTTGATTTTTAATATTCCTTCATCTAGTCCTTATACCTCTTTTGATGTTTCTTTTTGTCATCACTATATATGATGTTGATGAAAATGCAGTCAACACATAATGCGACTATAATTTTTATTATGAGAAGCCTAATTTTGTCTCATTATATAGTTTTATTTATGCACTGCATGTATTCAGAAGCATCCAGACTATATACTTTATATGATTTATTATTTTAATAAATTGTATTTGAGCATATGGTTCTTGAAAATGGTTTTTTATTATATATCATTGACCAAGAACCCCGTTTTACACGCAACCTGTTTAAGAGTGAGCGGGGTTTGTTTCCTGATGAGTTCAAGAACTACTTCCTATAATTTCTTTAAAAAAGAATTACACGGTCACTACAAGAAAAATGTAAATTTCTGACGGAAAATTTCCGACGGATATGGATCCGTCAGAAATTTCCGACGGATTTATATTTTTGTCGAAAATTTTTGACAGAATTTTCCGTCGAAAATTTTCTGTCAGAAATTTCTGACAGAAATATAAATTCGTCAGAAATTTCCGACAGCCTATCTCAAGAACTCATTAGCTATGGTATTCATACCACAACTAATGTGATCCTAAACAACCTCCACCTCTAGTCTCAAATCTCTGAATTGTTCAATTAGCTCCGGAAAAGGAAGGCAATAAGTGAGGATGCTTTATTTTTGTTTGACTCTGGTGCCACAAATTTATTTATTTATGTTGATTATGTGAGGAGATTGGGTTTATCATTATCTGCATTGCATGTTGATTTGTCTGTATCTACTCCGACTTTAGTTTCTATGGTGACCTCAGATATATGTATGGGTTGCCTGATAGAGGTGTTTGGTAGGAGGTTCCGAGTGAACCTGATTGTTTTGCCCATGGTGGATATAGATATCATATTGGAGATGGATTGGTTATCTGCCCATCGCATCTTCATAAATTGTGCTCGGAGAGAGTTGGTGTTTCCTCATTTGGAGTTGGAGGATGAGATGTTGGTGTTAGCTGGTCGGGCTGAGCAGTTGATGAGGGATGGAGCTGAGTGCTTCATATTTTTTTGTTACCGTAAGTGTTGAGAAAGAAAGGGCCATCACTAGGATTGAGGTTGTTAGTGAGTTTCCTGAAGTGTTCCCAGATGATGTGCTGGGAGTGCCACCTATGCGTGATATCGAGTTTAGCATTAATTTGGTACCAAGTGCAGGATCGATATCAGTAGCCCTGTATAGGATGGCTCCAGTTGAATTGGTAGAGCTGAAGAAGCAGATTGAGGATTTATTGGAGAAACAGATGGTGAGGCCTATTGTTTCTCCTTGGGGTGCCCCGGTACTATTAGTGAAGAAGAAGGATGGTGGGGCCCATTTGTGTGTAGATTATCGGAAACTAAATAAGTTGACCATAAAGAATAAGTATCAACTTCCAAGGATTGAAGATTTCATGGATCAGCTGAGGGGAGCTTCGGTGTTCTCGTAGATTGATTTAAGATCTAGATATCATCAGATCAGAGTGAAGGAGAGTGACATATTGAAGACTACTTTCTGGACTAGGTATGGTCCTTATGAGTATGTTGTGATGCCATTTGGTGTCACTAATGCTCCGGCGGTGTTCATAGACTAAATGAACAGGATTTTCAAACCGTTCTTGGACAGATTTGTGGTGGTCTTCATTGATGATATAATAGTATATTCTAGATCCTCGGGAGATCACTGTGAGCATTTGAGATTGGTTTTAAAGGTGCTAAGGGAGAGACAGTTGTATGCCAAACTGTCTAAGTGTGAGTTTTGGCTGTCCTTGGTGAAGTTTTTAGGGCATGTGATATCAGTAGAAGGGATTGTAGTGGATTTGGCCAAGGTGGAGGTTGTAATTCAGTGGGAGCGTCCGAGAACTGCTACAAAGATTAAGAGTTTTTTTGGGTTAGCAGTTTACTATCGGAGATTCATAGAGGGTTTCTCCCGAATATTAATGCCTTTGACTCAACTAACCCAAAAGGATCAGCCGTTTGTTTGGACAGGTGCTTGTGAGTAGAGATTTCAGGTGTTGAAGAGGAGGTTGACTACTTCTCCAATTTTGGTGTTACCTTACACTGGTGAGAATTTTGATGTGTTCTGTTATGCTTCTCACCAGGGGTTGGGTTGTGTGTTGATGCAGGGAGGGAGAGTAGTGACTTACGCTTCAAGGCAACTTAAGACCCATGAGAGGAATTATCCCACTCATGATTTGGAGCTTGTAGCTGTGGTGTTTTCCTTGAAGTTGTGGAGGCACTATCTATATGGTGCACGACGGATTTTTCTGTCGGAAAATTTGACAGCAATTTTCGATGGATTTTTCCGTCGAAAATTTTGACAGCAATTTCCACGGATTTTTCTGTCAGAAATTTCTGATGGATTTTTCCGTCAGAAATTTCTGATGGAATTTTCTGTCAGAAAATTTCGTCAGAAAAATTATTTTTGACGAAATTTTTTTTCCGACGCCACTTTTTTCGACGGATTGAAATCCGTCGGAAATCCGTCGAAAAAAGCAAAATCCGTCGGAAATTTACCTATTTTCGTCAAAAATTTTCGTCTGAAATCAGCATTTTTCTTGTAGTGGGTATACATACATACCCACTTGTTTGTTTTATATCCTTGTCTCTGTCAAAACTCAAAAGACGTGGACTTATTGTATTCATGTAATATTATGATATAATGTAAATATATTATGGTAATGTGATCTGGTTAGGACTTAGGAGTATGATTTATCAGAAATGTGATACTGATACATATATTCCTCACGCTGTAGCGGGATTTGGGCATGTGCAAAATGGCTGCACCCATATCGGCACCATAGCATTGCTAGAGTAACAAACAAGTAAGTACACAGTCATTTTGACATAATGTTTTTAGAGTAACAATAATGTTTTAGAGGAATTTGAAGAATGGAATTTGAAGAAAAATAATAAAAAAAATTAAAGGGTATCTTTTTAGAATTTATTTGAAATGTGTTGATTGTGTAAAAGTTTCTAGATTGGTGTTTAATTATGGATTGTTATGTAGAAAGAAATTGTATTAATTTTGATAAGTTATTATTACTTTTATTTATAAGTTAGTTAAAGTAATTTATAATCAATTTCACATCAACAAGATATCAAATCGTATTCTACACAGATTAACTTTGGTGTGCAGCTGTTTGTTTTAAACTTTATTAAAATTAATTACAAAAGAGATGGTATTGAAAGGGATGATTAATTATATCTAAACAACAAAGTATAACCACTTCTAAAGTTTCTGATTATGCACGTCTTTAAAAATTTGAAAAGTTGCGATCAAAATAAATTTTAATAAATAAGTATACATAGGAATTATAGGAGTATTTGATATATGTTGTTTTAGGCCTTTTATCTTTCCTTGAGAAACTTCAAAACAGCAGATGACTGCTGCAAAATATCATTGTCAATTTAAGTAGTCATTGTGATCTGATATGAACTTCCTATTTTTTGTTCATAGTTATCCTCTGAATGATGCTGTAGAGACTGTTGGTGAAATTGGATCGTGAATTGGACGAGCTATGGGAGGAACAAGTGGGATCATGTATTCTTCCATTGTTATGTATTCCATAAACTATAGTATTTATGTTATCTGATTATTATCACTTTCACACTTGATTGTATATTTTTTTTTCCAGATATACAATTTTATACAGGTTAAATGTAATTTAGATTAAAAAAATAAAATATATTGTGAAATAAAAAAAAATATTATTCAAATTGAGGAGGTCAAAAACCCCGCTAAACAAAACGTCGCAGAATGGAAAAGGTAGATTAAAAAAATAAAATATATTGTGAAATAAAAAAAAATCATTCAAATTGAGGAGGTCAAAAATCCCCGCTAAACAAAACGCCGCAGAATGGAAAAGGTAGCGGAGGTTGGTAAAAATCGCCGTATAATGCTAGTGGCGAACGTAACTGCGGCGTTTTTATAAAACGCCATTACTTATTTTGAGGGGGGCGAAAACCCCCGCAATATGAAAAAAAAACCGCCGCAAAATGACAAATTTCTTGTAGTGTATCCAAGTACCAGCTTCCATCTCCGTTGTCACAAGATTCTTGGTTAGCATAGAACAGACGTTGCTCTTGATTATGCTCTTCGACAAAATTTTCTTGATGTTTATTTTTGTTATGGCAGTACTTCTCCACGTGACCGGGTTTATTGCAATAGTGACATATTGGCTTACAACGATGCCAACAATCATTTTCTGCATGTCCCGGCTTATTGCAAATACCACATAAAGGGTATTTATCTTTTTTGTTTCCAGAGAAATTTCTAGAATCTTTGTTTCTAGAATATTCTCCAACATTTTTCTTTCCTCCATCTTCTTTATTTCTAGACTGCAATTTAAGCTTTGATTGAAATGCATTTTCAACTGAATTTGTATCGACACGGCTATTTAATCTTGCTTCGTGCACTCCGAGGAGACCAATTAATTTATTCACCAATAGAGAAGATGGATCCGAGGAAGTTTCTATGGAAGCTACAATGGAATCATATTTTTCGTGAGAGTGATAAGAATTTTTTCTATATAATTTCATTTTATTAACTATTTCTTTTATTCTTCCATAGTATCAATGGTCTTGGATTCCTTCATTTTAATGGTCTCAAATTCTCTTCTTAGATAGTGTAGCTTGACGGAGCGAACTTTTTCATTGCCTTCAAATTCTTCTTCCAAAATATCCCATGCCTTTTTTGCAGTATCGGCGTCCATGATCCTTCTAGCGATAGTTTCTCCCACAACTTGTTGAAGAACAAACAGTGCTTGTGCATCCTTTTGTTCACAATCTTCTAACTTCTTCTGCTCCTCCTTAGACAGAGTGATAGTATTATCTGGTTTTGTATAACCAGATTGAACGATATCCCACAGTTTTTGTGAGATAAAGTATGTCTTTAGTTTGAGCTTCCATAGATCAAAATTTTCACCAGTAAAAACTGGTAAAGGGAAAGATGAAAAATTAACGGTATTGGAGGCCATAGATCAAAGAAAAATGTTTAGAAGTATAAAAGGGAATTGTAGAAGTAGTTGGGTGATTTTTCTACGCCCAGTAGATGACCGAACGTAGCTCTGATACCACTGTTAGTATATGATAGTTGTCATCGGAATAGTTGGAGGAATAATAAAAACTTATTTGTATTTAGAGAGTAGTAGTAGTTGTGGTAATTGTTGTTGATGTTGTTATTGTTACAATGAAGTCCCAATTTTCTTATTTATAGGCATGATGCTCCATTTCTAGATGATGGCGGAAATATATAGAATTTTCTAAATTTTTCAAGTCTTTACACTCTTTTAGATTTTTCTAGAGACTTATACAACTTTTCTTATGTTTCTAGAATTTTCATTTCTTTCTTATACATCTTATCTTATGTTTCTAGAATACTCTTTTCTTTTCTAGATTTTGCATCATAATTTAACAATTCGTAATTCTACAAGTGGTAAAAATCCCCATAACCAACGTAAGAAAATTATTGCAAAACCCCCAATTTCGAATAAAAAGAGCACGAGTGATTTCTCTTCCAAAAACAAAAGGATAATAAATGGACCCCACCCTGGCCCAATGAATACAAATTATACACTTGCATGTACGAAAAAGAATCATGCTATACGTGAACAATGTAACTCTGATTTAGTGTTGTCTGGTATTAAACGAGTGGCTTCATCACTTAATGGCGGATCAATAAGTGCTGATATGTCATCTCGTGTAACTTTACCAGATGGTCAAACTTTAGCTGTTGCTAGCATGCTACACCAATACTTTGAAGCGGGAGATGCTTCAATAATTAATATTGCAGAAGTGATGAAGAGGGCTGAAGATAGCCCAACTGTGAATGGGGTTTTGAAACCCGACTCTTAATTCGTGTTTCTATGAATATAATGAGCTGGAATTGAAGAGGAGTTAGTCATAAAGGCTTTGTTCTCTTATTAATGACTCTATACAACATGATGTGGTATCTTGTTTTTGTTGGAAACTCATTTAAGTGAGTCTTCTGCACAAAATAAAATAAAACGTACCAATATGGATAGTCATTATTTGGTTGATGCTCAAGGTCATGCTGGTGGGATTTGGTGCCTAAGGAATTCAGCAATATGGAAGCTGGAAGTGTTATCTTATTCAAAATAATAAATTCATTTCTTTGTTTCAAGTGATATGAAGATGTGGAATCTGACTATAATTTATGCTAATCGTCACCCTCAATTTCGCATTGAGCTTTGGCGAGACTTTTGTCAGCTGGCTCCTAACATTAATGGGGCTTGGTGTGTAATTGGCGATTTTAACATTGTCTTGCAATCCTTTGAGAGGAAAGGAGGGTCTTCTAATGGATGTATGCGGGGGAGATTTTGCTTTTAGATTGCCAACTTATTTATATGGGATTTCAAGGTCTAACGACCCAACTGGTCACTACACACTGTTCAACACCATAGCACCACACATAAAGAACAAGTATATATATATATATATAAACAACTAGAATATATACACAAGATCCAATCTGGAGCTGAAACAGAGTAAACAAATATAGCCCAAAGTAGCTAAACTAGTGGCCAAAACATCAAAGCATCAACAGAATAAAACTCCATCTGCCAGCTGCAGACCTGCCTCAACTCACCAACCTAACCCTGCTCTGCTCCCATACAAGTATGATCATCGCAGTCCAACCACATAGAAACAACAAAGGGTAAGCTAGTGAAAAGAATAAACATACATATATATATGAATACATGAATGGAAAACAGCTACAGCTAACAACATATCATCAGCATACAACTCATCGACTATACAGCATAAGCCGCAGTAAACACACAATGCGTCGTCACGCATATCAGCTCGGAGATCTCCTACAACAGCTCAGCCTAACGGCCTACAACAACTTATACCAGCATGCAACACAACACAACTTACAACATTAACAGCATACAACACAGCTCATACATCATAATTCAGCATTAATAATTCACAACACAGTAATATTATCGTTCAGCTCCCAATATTCATCAATAACAACTCAACTCAGCATAAAACAACATTTATCAGCATTTCACAACATCTAACAGCATATAGCTAAACATCACCTCCGCGCCCGGCGCACTCATGGTCGCGCCAGGCGCAACACAACTAGAGAGCACCAGGGGCCAGCTCGCCCGACACAAGAGTACTCGCGCCTAGCGCACCAGCCAGAGAGCCCAAGGCTCAAACGCGCCTGATGCAATACCAATTGCGCCCAACGCGAACCCAGGCAGAGACTTTGAGGAGTCTCACGCGCCCGGCGTGCCCAAACCCGCGCCCGGCACAGGGAAGGTAGAGACCTCCCCAAGGTCTCGCGCCCGACGCAATTCCAATTGCGCCCAACGCCCCCTTGGTAGAGACTCCCAAGGAGTCTCCATGCCAGGCGAGACAAGGTCACGCCCAGCGCAGCACCAGAAAACCCAAAACATGTCAATACTGATAACGTGCCCGGCGCGGTCCAAGTCACGCCCGACATGGGCTATCTAGAGGCTCACATTCTCAAGCTCGCCCAGCGCACACACCTTTGCGCGCGGCGGGCTTGCCTAAATGGAGCCCCCTAATGGTCACGGGCTCGGCGCGAAGAACAGCGCCCGGCGGGATACCCAACAGCATCCCTCAAACTTTCAAAAACTTCTTCAAAACCTGCGAAAACAACTAGAAAATCCACATGCAAACCCTCCAAAAGTTCACATTCTTAGCAAGTATCAATAAAAACACCTCATTTCTAGCATGCAACCTCAAATCAATGAAAACCCCAAAATTTTTATCAAAACCCTGAAACCCATTTTCCTCAAAAGCAGCCAACAATCATCAAATCATCCAACCATCAATGAGTTCTAAACTCAGTTGTGTACAGCTAGCAAGAATCCTAGTTTCCCTTACCTCGGTACGAAAATTAGACCTCCGGGAAGAGGATGAACGAGAAGAAGAAGAGAATTTCGCACACGGCTAGCTCCGAACGACTTTAAGATTGCGAGAAAGGACCTCCAAGATCACTCACGACTTCAGCTATAGAGAAAGAAATTTGCAACAAGGTTAAGGGCTTGAGAGAATCCACCAGCAAAGAGAGTGAATGAGAGAGTTTTGAGTGAGTGAGACTGAAATGGGAAAGAAGAAGAGTATAAGTGAAAGTGAGGGAGAGAAAAGGGAACGAAAGGGAATAGGGTCTCACAACCTCCCCAACAACATGAATTTTTGTCCCCAAAAATAGACTTACTTGGGAAAAGAAATGGATACCGCTCGATTGCCCCTCAACTCCTTCAGCTTATGATCAACCACAGCTACCGGCAACTTTTCAAATGTTAGATTCTCCTTCACCCGCACATCATCCAGCTCCACCACATGACCAGGGTCATGAACATACTTCCTCAGCTGGGATACATGAAATACATCGTGTAGGTTTGAAAGAGACGGTGGCAAAGCCAACCGATAAGCAACCGGACCCACACGTTGTATTATCTGATAGGGACCAATAAACCTCGGTGTCAACTTTCTTGCCTTCAACGCTCTACCCATACCAGAAGTCAGGGTCACCTTCAGAAACACATGCTCCCCTTCAGAAAATTCCAAAGGCTTTCAACTTTTATCAGCATAAGATTTCTGCCTACTCTAAGCAGTCTTCATCCTCTCCTGAATCAGCTTCAC